TCCTTGGGTTTCCGAGGCAGTATCACTACGGAAGTAGGATTGCCCAACCTTCCTTCCGAGGAGTGGCTGGTGGGTTTGAACTGCCAGCCGTCTGGTTAGCAGGCAAGTGTCTTAGCCACTATGCTACCAGAGCTCCTCCTCATAAGTATAACAATTACTATTAAGGGAGGGGCCCTAGAGGATGGCTTCAGGCCTAAGGCACTCGCCTGCCAAGCACAAGGCTGGCAGTTCAAACCCACCAGCCACTCCCCGCCCTGTAGACCTGGCCGCTGCCACTGTCTCTCTCTGGACTCGGCCATCCTTGGGAACTCAAGGAGGGCTCACTAGGAGTCCGAGGCAGTCAGTTGGGAGGTATGGTTTTTGGGAGCTCTGGTAGCATAGTGCCTAAGGCACTTGACTACTAACCAGAAGGCTGGCAGTTCAAACCTACCAGCCACCCCTCGGAAGGAAGGTTGAGCAATCTACTTCCGTAGTGATACCACCTCGGCAACCCAAAGAGGGGTTGCTATGAGTCTGGTCTGACTTGACGACACATAACAACAACAACATTAAGGGAGGAGTTAACAGTGTATTTGTTAACTATGTATTTTGCTATTTGTTTTCTATGTATCTTGTACAGTTTTTTGCTATTTGTTTTCTATGTATCTTGTACAGTTTTCATACTTTGTTTCCTCCCATACTGCCTTCTTTTGTGTTTAGTTAATTGTTTATAGCAGAGTATTTTTATTTTCATTTCTTTTTGTGTAAATTTTTAAGATATTTTTATCATGGTTACCACAAAGATTGCTTAATATCCTACATGTATAACAGTAATGTTTGAATTGATATCAAATTAAAACTTTCAATAGCATAGAAAAAATTATTCCTTTATAGTTCTGTTCCCACTTTTATGTTTTTGTCACAAAGTACATCTTTATATGTTGTATGCCTAATAACATAAATTTATAAGTTTTAGTGCATTGTCTTTTTTTTCATGTAGAAAGTAAGAATTGGGTTATAATCCAAAAATACAATAAATTTGGTATTTATATTTATGCATGAAATTACATTTACTAGAGATCTTTATTTCTTCATAGAGCTTCAAGTGTTTTGTGTCATTTCCTTTCCACATGAAGGACTTCTTTTAGCATTTTTTGTAGGGCAGGTCTTGTGTTAATGAACTCTCTGAGTTTTTATTAATCTAGCAGTGTCTTATGCTTGCCCTCAGTTTTGAAGAACAGTTTTGTCAGATACAGAATTATTGGTTAACAGGTTTTTTTTTTTGTTGTTGTTCTTTCAGTACTTTAAATATGTCATGACACTGATTTTGGCCTCCATGGGTTCTGAGGAAAAATCAGGGCTTAATTTTATTGAGAATCCTTTGTATGTGATGATTTGCTGCTTTCTTGTTGCTTTCAAGATTCTCTCATTATCTTTGGTTTTTGACAGTTAGAATATGGGTCTTGGTTGGCTGTTTTTGGGGTTCATCTTACATGCAGTTTGTTGAGATTCTTGGATATGTGGCTTCATGTCTTTTTTTCAGATTTGGGAAGTTTTCAGGTGTTATTTCTTCAAATATTCTTTCTAACCCTTTGTCTCTCTTTTTCTTCTGGGACTCCCATAATGCATATGCTGGTACACTTGATGGTATCCTACACGTCCATTAGGCTTGTTTTTCATTATCGATTTTTCTTTATGTTTCTTGGACTAGTCATTTCACTTGTCCTATGCTTAAGTTCTCTGATCTTTTCTTCCGCTCACTGAAATGTGCTGTTGAGCACCACTAGTGAAATTTTCATTTCAGGTATTGTACTTTTCAGCTCCACAATTTGTTTATTTTTATAATTTCAATCTCTTTATTGGTATTCTCAGTTTGCTTATAGATGATTTTCCTCATATCCTTTAGTTTTTGTCCATGTTTTCCTTTAGCTCTTAGAGCATATATTAAAATAATTATTCAGTCCAATATCTTAGCTTTTTCAAGGATGATTTCTATTGATTTATTTTGTTTCTTTGAGTCAGCCATCCTTCTCTGTGTCTCTTTATGCTTTGTGATTTTTTTGTTGAAAAATAGTACATTTGAGCAGTACAATGTGGTAAATTCTAGAAATCAAATTCCCTCCCTTCCTCGGGGTTTTCTGACTCCTTTCTTTTTTCTTTACTTTAACTAATTTTTTTTTTTAATTTTCAATGCTGTAAACCATTGGTTTAGTGACTTTTCCCAACTATTTTTGCAGACTTAATTACTGAATGTGTGTGCTCACTGAAGTCTCTATTCTGTTAGCCTATATTCAGCCATTGTTTGAGAGAGGGTTTCTTGAATGCCAGAAGTTGTAAAGAGAAAGAAAGGAAACAAAGAAAAATAAAATATAAAACAAGAAAAATAAAGCAAAACTAAAACAAAATCAAAAGCCATAGGAAACAAAAAACAATCACATCTTGGATTTTTTGCAGATTGGCTCTGTGCTGGAAGACTCTTTTGACACTTAGCTGGGCTAACACTGGGCCTAGAAATTAGCCTGAAGTGAAAAGTTAGGATTTTTTTTAGGTCTTTCCTAGGCAGAATCTTGCCCTGGGCATGTATATGGCTTTCTAAATACTCCAGTGTACACTGGTGTTTCTGAATGCCCCAACTTCCCAAAGAATCTCTCTTCTAGCTCCTTGATATTAGCCCTAAAGTTTCTATTGTGTATTTCAGTTGCTCTCTGGGGCACAATCTGTTTCTCCTCTTCTCCCCGCTTGAGCTAAACAGATAGACTAAACAGAGATGTGTGCTTTGTACCAGTCTTTACATAGTTACCCAACAGGTTCAAATGGACTATACTTTGTGCATAAGACATGGTTTGCTCCCTTGAGACCCTAGGAACAGGGTCCCAAGATGGAAACATAGACTGCTGCTTCAAACAAGCTTCCAGGCCAGGTCAGGGGAGGGGTATGATCCAGTGACAAAAAGCCACAAAGCTTTCCTACCATTATTTTAGTATTGCTTTTTTCTTGATTTGGTATTTGCTTGGTTACCATATACCTTACTGCTTACCAGAGATCTGACAAAGCTAATTCTGACACTTTCTATTTGTTTTTGATATCTCTTCGGGAATGGAAGTGCAGAGCTCATTACACCACCACCTTATGATGCCCAGTGGTAACTCACTGCTATTTACTTGATTCTGAGACATAGCAACCATTTAGGACAAAAAGAAACTGCCATATTGGCTTTCCAAAGTTGTAATCTTTATGGAAGTAAACCGCCTCATCTTTCTCCCCTAGAGTGGCTGGTGGGTTCAAACTACTGAATGTTTGGTTAGAACTCAAATGACTTAACATACTACACAAAGCATTCTTCTACCTCCTACTTTGGTGAGGAGGAACTGGGATCTTAAAAGCTTGCAAGCAGCCATCTAGATTCAATGATGGGTCTCTCCTTCCAAAGCAAAGAAGAATGAAGAAAACCAAATATTCATTGAAACAATTAGTCCAAGCAACTGGTACACCATGAGATCCACAGCTTACATGACTATGAGACCAGAAGAACTAGATGGTGCCCAGCTACCAATGTCAACCACTCGGAGGGATCTATGTAGGATATCCTGGATAGAGAGGGACAACAATGTGTAACAAAACTCAAAATCATTTGGAAAAAATGATTTGCTGGTCTGAAAGAGCCTGGCGGAACCACTGAGACTATGACCCCTCGCTGCCCTTCAGGTGTGGAATTGAACCCACCTGTGGCTTCCAGACAAACAAAAGACAGGCATATGAGCTGAACATTTACCTGAGGTAGATACACTCCTTGGAGAGAACAGTCATGGGAGAATGAAAGGCTGTTTATGCACAGGGAGACAGCTCAGGAGGCAGGAGTGTATGGAGGAATGGACACAGGGAAGAGGTGACTATCGGGAGGAAGTGGGAGGGGAGCTGTTGCATTGGAGTAAATTGTAGTCAATATCATGAGACAAAGTGTACGTGAACTGATGTATGGAAAATGAATTTGGTCTGTAAATTTTCACCCAAATCACTATAAAAAAAAAAAATTTAAAAAAAGCCAAATACTGTAACCACTACATCAGTAGAGCTCTTTGACTCTTTGTCTAGTCATAGTAGATATCATTTTTCTCCTACTTTACCACTACCTCCACCATCACCACCATATCACTAATGCCATCACACTCTTTACTACCTCTATCCTCACTACCACCACTACCACAATTACTGCCATGCCTTCCATCACCACCATCACTACAATCATCACTGCCACCATCACCATCACCACTATTACTACCATCATCACATCATCACAGTCTTCACCACCACTATCACTACAATAATTAACACTAATGTCACTACCACCACCATTACATCACTTTCACCATCCCCATTATCACCAACACCACCTCATTACTATGCTTTCTAGCTACCCTCTAGCAGCTTACAGATTAGTTAGAGCAATGGTGGAAAAAATATATACTTATATATATCTATATCTATATTTATATCTATCTATCTATCTATCTATATGCTCACATAATAAAGGGCTCTGATTGATATAAAGATAAAGTGATCTGAGGGAACAAAGGATGGCCCTTTAGCTAAGTGTAGGGGTGTCAGGGAAGTTTTACTATTTGGTATGTATTATGAACAATGTCTTCATATTACTAGGGCAAAACTAAACCAAACCCATTGTCATTGAGTCGATTCTGACTCATAGCAATGCCATAGGGTTTCTAAGCCTGTAAATCTTTATGGAAGCAGATCCTCATCTTATTTCCATGGAGCAACTGGTGGGTATGAACTGCCAACCTTTTGGTTAGCAGCTGAATGCCTTACCACAACACCATCAGAGTTCCTTCATATTATTAGCCAGTAAATAGTAATTAACTGATCAATATTTTGGGAGTAGATTGACAGAATTAAATAAGAAATTAACTTTCTGTTTTCTTTCCAGCCAGATGTCCATCCTGGAAAGTGCTGGGCTTTTCCAGGTTCCCAGGGTCATACTTTTATCAAGCTAGCCAGGAAGATTATACCAACTGCTGTTACCATGGAGCACATCTCAGAGAAGATCTCTCCCTCAGGAAACATCTCCAGTGCACCCAAAGAATTTTCTGTCTATGTGAGAAGCTCTCTAAATCTATCATTAAGAGTAGGTTATAATAGAAGGTGGTTGGCTAGAATCTAGGAGCTGGGTTCTCATCTTAACTGTACAGCTAAACTATTGTGTCATTGTGGAAAAGTCACTTAATTTTTTGGACTCTGTTTTCTCACTTACTAAGTGAAAATGTTGGGCCAGATGATTTCTTTTTACTTTTATTGAAGTTATATAAAATATAATTTCAATAATCAAATATTTTCACACCGATTGTGTAAAACATATAAGTCCTTTTTGTCACTCTTCCCCACCCCCAAATTCTCATTCCACACAAGCATACTTTTACAACAATTTTAGCTATTTATTTTAAGTACTTGTCTATATTTTCTATTAATATTACTTCTTGATTTTTCAGGTTTGATTATTATTTACTGCCTTCCTCCTTTGGAATGTTGTTGTTGGTGTTATGTGCCATCGAGTTGGACCCGACTCATAGAGACCCCTCCTTGGGTTTCCAAGGCAGTATCACTACGGAAGTAGATTGTCCCATCTTCCTTCCCAGGAGTGGCTGGTGGGTTTGAACTGCCAGCCTTCTGGTTAGCAGTCAAGTACCTTAGGCATTACTCTACCAGAGCTCCTTCTCCTATGGAAAGTGAGGATTATTTCTCTTATATGGCTCCCTCCATTGTCCCAATATATTTATATTTACTTAAAAAAAAAAAAGTAAGAGATATAGGAGGTCTGGTAGCATAGAGCCCAAGGCACTTGACTGCTAACCAGAAGGCAGGTGGTCCAAACCCACCAGCCACTCCTCAGAAGAAAGGTTGGGCAATCTACTTCCGTAGTGATACTGCCTCAGGACCCAAAGAGGGGTCACTATGAGTTGGGTCCTACTTGACAGCACATAACAACAACAATAGAGATATAATTCACATACTAAACACTGCCCCTATTCAAAGTGTAAAATTCAATAGCTTTTAGTACATTCACAGATTTGTGCATTCATCACCACAATCAATTTTAGAACATTTTCATTATACCAAAAGGAAACCCTATATCTCTTACCCATCACCTCCTACTTCCCCCATTTCCTTCCTCCATCCCTCACCAAACCAAAACCTAACCAGTTGCTATCTAACCAACCTCAACTCATGGAGACCTTATGTATTGCAGGCTAGAACTGCACTCCATAGGGATTCCAAGGCCATTTGGAAGCAGAAAATTAGGCTTCTTTTTGAGGCATCTCTAAATGGGTTTGAACCATCAACATATTGATTAGTTGTTGGACAATTAACTGTTTGCACCTCCCAAGAACTCTGGGACAATCATTAATGTACTTTCTCTTCAGATTTGCCTATTCTACATATTTCCTATAAATGAAATCATATAATATGTGGTCTTTTGTGATTGACTTTTTTTTTCCTTTTACTTAGTATAATGTTTTCAGGATTGATCCATGTTGCAGCATATACCAGTACTTCCTTGATTTTTATTGCTGAATAATATTCCATTGTATGTATATTGTTATTTTTTATTGTTAGGTGCCACTGAGTCATGTCCAACTTGTTGTGACCCTGTGTACACCAGACTAAAATACTGCCTGGTTCTGCACCATCCTAACAATCATTGCTATGTTTGAGCCCATTGTTGCAGCCACTGTGTCAATGCATCTCCTTGAGAGACTTCCTTTTTTTTTTTTGCTGACCCTCTATTTCACCAAGCATGATATCCTTCTCCAGTGACTGGTCTCTCCTGATAATGTGTCCAAAAGATATGAGGCAAAGTATCACCATCCTTGCTTATAAAGAGCATTTTGGCTGTCCATTTCATTTTTGACAACTTCCAGTTTTCCTAGATTCATAATTTTTACATTCCACATGCAAAAAGGACATAAAGGCAGCATCTTCTGACCTCTTCCAAACTCACAAGTGGGAAACAGAGTTACCATCAACAGCCTAAGGCTTATTCCTATGAGACCAGACATGCCACTACCCTCCAGCTTTCTTACCAACTCGGACACCAACTGTCCCTCCCACGGCACTCACTACTTCTCTTCTGGGTTCAATAACTTGTTGCAATGGCCACACAGAACTCACAGAAAATACTCATGATTATGGGGTTTATCAGGGAAGTAACAGGCTACAACTAAGTTTCAGGAACACGCTCAGGATACAGTTTTTCCATTAGGACAGTCTCCTCTCTGCTATGTCCTCAGGCTCATTACTCTGACCCTTGGCCTCTCCACCTGGCCTCTTCCCTGCTCAGGCAAGTGTTACAAAGCTCTTTTAGCTCTGCCAATAGAGTCACCTCGGTGCACCACACTCCCTCAGCAAACCTCCTGCCCAAAGGCACTCAGCTTTCTTGCTCCATGGGCCAACAAGGCTGCTGCTCTATCTCATGACTCTTGGTTCCACTGCTGCCATCTTTGAGCTGGGCATGTCTCAGCCAGGCATCTCTCAGCCAGGCATCTCTGCTAAGTGGGTCCATTGCAGGGATCTCTGGTCCAAGGGCATGTTCCACTTCACCTCCAGCTCTTCTCTATTGATAGCAGTGAGACCCCCCTTTCTGCCTCTAGGATGGCTCATTTTAAGCCTGGCAGAGTAATAAAACTAACCAATCCCAACATTAGAGTCCCATACACATCATTTGCATGGTCCCACCCAGTAATCTGGTGGGAGTCACAAAGACCATGGCTAGAAAAGTTGTACCAAGTATTTCACTGCACCACACCACATTTCAGTTATTTATTTATGTTTGCAGCTGTTTCTTCTCATTTTGTGTTGTGCCACATCAGCACATGAAGGTCCCAAAAGCTTTATTCTATCCACAACATTAAGTTTCATTCTACTTGGATAAGCCACCTCTTCGCAGTCATATTTGAGTGTCTTCCAATCTGAGGGCTCATCTTCTGGCACTATATCAGACAATGTCCCACTGCTATTCATAAAATTTTCAATCGCCAATATTTTTAGGAGTAGATCACCAGGTCCTTCTTCTCAGTCTGTCTTAGACTGGATGCTCTGCTGAAACCTGACCATGGTGATCCAGCTTGTGTGTGAAATACTGGTGGAAAAGCTTCTTGTATCACAGCAACATGCAAGCCACCACAGTATGACAAATTGACAGACGAGCAGTTATGTATGTATGTTCCAAGTTTTATTTATCCATTCATCAGTAGATGAGTATTGGTTTGTTTCCACTTCTTTTGGTGATTATGAATAATGATGCTATAAACATTTGTGCAGAGGTTTGGACACATGTTTTAATTTCTTTTTGGCACATACCTAGGAGGAGAATTGCTGGATCACATAGTAACTCTGTGTTTAACATCTCAGAACCTGCTAGACTCTTTATCTTATTTTTGTTTCAGTCAATATTCAATGCTTCCATTGTGACTCTATGAATAATATTGGTCTAAATTGAACCATACAGGGTGTTGTTATTCTTGCTGTTAAGTGCCACAGAGTTGATTCTGAAATATAGCAACTGTAAGTTCAATAAACCAAAACACTGCCTGGTCCTGCACCATCCTCACAATCCTTGCTATGCTTGAGACCATCATTGCAGCCACTATGTCACTCCACCTCATAGAGAGTCTTCCCCTCTTTCTCTGACCCTCCACTTTACCAAGCATGATAATCTTCTCCAGGGACCAGTCCCTTCTGGCAACATGACCAAAGTAGGTGAGATGAAGTCTGGCCATTCTCCCTTCTAAGGAGCACTTCAGCTGCACTTCTTGTAGGACAGATTTGTTCATTCTAATGGCAGTCCATGGTATTTTCATTATTCTTCTCCAATAGCACAATTGAAATGCATCAGTTCTTCTTCATTCTTCCATATTCACTGTCCAGCTTTCACATGAGGCTATTGAAAATACCATGGCTTGGGTTAGGTGCACATTAGTCTCCAAAGTAACATCTTTGCTCTTCAACACTTTAAAGAGGTCTTTTGCAGCATTTGACAGTGCAATATGACAACTCATTTCTTGACTATTGCTTCCATGGGCATTGATTTTGGATCCAAGTAAAATGAAATCTTTGACAACTTCAGCCTTTCCCCATCCTCTTCTGAATAATTTTTCCCCATGTAGTTCCCCATATATTGTGATATTGGTCCAATTATGAGGGTTTTCATTTTCTTTATGGTGAGGTGTAATCCATAGTGAAGACAGTAGTCTTAATCAGTAAGTGCTTCAGGTCATCTTCACTTTGTGTCATCAGCATATGATGATGATGATATATGATGATGTTAATGAGTCTTACTCTAATCCTGATGCCACACTCTTCTTCACATAGTCCAGCTTCTTGGATTATTTGCTCAGCATACAGATCAAATAAGTAAGTATGGTGAAAGGGCACAACTCTGATGTACACCCTTCCTGATTTGAAACCATGCAATATTCCCTGGTTCTCTTTGAATGACTGACTCTTTGGTCTATGTACAGGTTCCTCATGAGCACAGTTCAGTGTTCTGGAATTCCCATTCTTCACAACGTTATCCATAATTTGTTATGATCCACACCGTCAAATGGCTTTGCATAGTCAATAAAACACAGGTAGACATCTTTCTGGTATGCTTTCAATCAAGATCTACCTGACATCAGCAATGATATCTATTCCCCATTCCACATCCTCTTCTGAATCCACCTCGTATTTCTGGAAGTTCTCTGTCAATATACTGCTGCAACCATTTTTAAATTATCTTTAGCAAGATTCTACTTGTGTGTCATTTAATGATATTGTTTGAAAATTTGCACATTCTGTTGGATCATCTTTCTTTGGAATGGGCACAAATATGAATCTTTTCCAGTAAGTTGGCCAGGAAGCCGTCTTCCAAATTTCCTGGCATAAACGAGTAAGTGCCTCCAGCAATGCACCCATTTGTTGAAACATCTAATTGGGTATTCCATCAGTTCTTGCAGCCTTTTTTTAATTTTTTGCCATTTCCTTCAGTGCAGCTTGGATTTTTTCCTTTAATATCATTGTTTTTTAAAAAAATCATATCCTACCTTCAGACATATATGA